GTCAATATCTCGAAGGAAGGCTGTATTGAACCTTTGTAGTGCTGTTTGTCCAGTTGTCCAGTGTTTCTTTAGCTTCAGTCTCATCTTGGCCACAACCAGGTGGTGATCTGAAGCTATGTCAGCTCCTCTCCGGGTTCTCACATCATCCATTGATCTTCGAAATTTTTTGTTGATACAGATGTGATCTAGCTGGTTCTCTGTGGTGTGGTCCGGTGAGATCCATGTAGATTTGTGTATGCGCTTTTGTGGGAATACTGTGCCGCCTTTAACCAATTTGTTGAATGCACATAGGTTTGCAAGTCTCTCCCCATTTTCATTTCTCTCTCCTAATCCATGTCGTCCAATTACATCTTCATATCCTGTGTTGCCCACTCCAACTTTAGCATTTAGATCTCCCATCAGGATGGTGAGGTCTTTTCGTGAGCTCTTCTCTATAATTGATTCCAGCCTTTCATAGAACTGATCTTTGTCATCGTCGTTGCTATCATTGGTGGGTATATAACATTGGATAACGTTCATTGCGATCCCTTGCTTCTTTGTTTTGAATGATGCTTTGATTAGCCTTTGTTGTCCAGTTTGTGTCCAATGGGTTTCGCTGATTCCGAGTACTGCAAAGTTGTATCTCCTCATTTCCATTGCTATTTGGCTGGTCTTTCCTGTTTCCCACATTGTCCGGACGTTCCATGTACCTATAAAGAGTGTTGCTCTGGTTTGTTAGAAGGTGCGTCGGTCTCGTGACTTCCGAAGAATTTCGGCTTTCATCATGAGACGTCATTATTCCTTCAACTCCCAGGGCAGAGTTTAAATGTATTGAATTATTTTTTCTGGTTAGCGTTTTTTTAGCGAGTTAGCTTTTCTACGGGATGGGGTCGCTAACCCCATGCCCAACCCTCCTCCTTTGTGTGGGCTTGGGACCGGCAGTAACTCTAGAAGAGCTACAGGCTGAGTTACAGTTTATCATAGAATGGGTTAATTTACAGTTCAATTTTTGTTGCCTTAATTTATCGATTATATTGTACAGGATACCCGTTTGAGACTTTCTCATGCTTCCGTTTTTGAAAGAACTCTGGTATATATGGAGTTATTAATTTATCCAATCAACTAATAAACCAACTATATAAGACCTGAATAACAAATTCCTTGTAAAAGATTCCATCTTTGAATTTCGTGTATTTAGTATTTAAATGAGAATTCATGTTTGTACTTCTCATAATTGAACTTGTGTTAACGTAATGTGGTGTTTATTCTGTATATTCTGTGTATATTCTAGTAGATTCCTTTAAGTTGCAATGAAATACATGTAATATTTTGCAAGTTGATATTGTAGTGTGGGCTACTTATATCCATATAAGTTAGTATATTGTGATGGTCAGACATATAATTTATTTTGGCAGAAGACCGATAAGGAAAAAACTGAAATGAAGCGCAATTGGTGGGAAAATGCATGAACAATTAAATTAGAGAAGATGAACTGATATTTACTGAAGAAACAGTGAAGATTGAGAGAATTGATTGTTATTTTGCAAATTAACTGTTTATTGTATAGTTATCAGAATTTAATGAGATGGTCTGTAATTTTTGCCCAAATACATTCGATTGTACCCAACCGGTGTTCCGTTCACTGCAATGTGATCCAAGATTGACAGGGAAATGATGAGAACTAAAATTTATGTTTGATTAAGATTAATTTACTAAAACTAATTAGTCATTTCTAGTTAAAGCTTTCATCTATCCTTATTTATATACTTTACACTTGTATACCATGTTTTAATCAGTTCAATACACTGAAATGGGATATTTTTCCTCAGTATTATTTTTCAACATCTGTCTCAAATGTGTTTAAAGTAGACCTATATAAAAAAGCAAACGCTTAAATGAGTCTATCAGTCTTTATATAACAACATTTCTGTACTATATAGTCAATCAAGGGTATATGATACTTAACTGTTAAAAAGGAAACTTATACCAGGTGTTATTCATATGGATTTAAGTAGATGTATTTGTCTGGTTCAATTGCCTTGGGAATTAATGTCTATATTTTGAACTTGTGTGAATTACTATCTATTTTCTTACAACTGACCTGATTAGGTAGTGTTTCTTATTCGTTCAAAATGTTTGTTTATACTGAATATAAAAATATCACATTTAAGTATTTTACATTTATAGAATATATGTGTATAATGATAAATATGTTCAGTTTAATGTTTCAAATGTTTAACATAGTAGTAGTATACAGTTAGTAAAGCTGTGTACAAATGTTATTCTAATTAATATTATATGACATTGATCTTACTAGAGATATATACAGAATAGTAACATATAATAATAACTCCGCCTGTAGCTCCTCCGGGGGCTACTGCCGATCCCAAGCCTGGGTAAACGAGGAGGGTTGGGCATGGGGTTAGCTACCCTATCCCGTAGAAAAGCAACTCGCTAACAAAAACGCTAACCAGGGAAATTATTCAAACATATAATAATAAATCCAATTAGATAAACAAATTATTTTGAAAATGTATCGTGAAATATAACTGTTTTTATCAGAAGGGGTTTTTGTGCAGATTTTAGGAAATTAATAATTGAATTCATGAGCTAGTTAAAGTCGGATCACCAAGGGAAACCTGTAAACACTGGATGACCGTTTTGCCTTAATATGGCACTTCTCATAAGTGCGTCTACGGTTCCGCACACGGGACTCGAACCCAGAACCTTTGGTGTCACGAGCGAAAGCTCAACCTATAGACTACGGAGCTCAAATCCAATGGTGTTAATGTCTAACCTTAACCAGTCCATGATATTACGCCACAGTTGATTATTGTTTTCAGTGATGTTAAGCGTTCCTGCGAAAGGCTGATAGATCCTGGGTTCGAATCCCGCGAGCGAGATCGTGAATGCTCACTATCCCGTACTAGTACAAAAAGACCGTCCAGTGTTTGCAGGTTTTCCATGGTGGTCTAGCTTTATTGGCTAATGAATTAAACTATTAAATAACTGTTTTCATTGGACACTTTAAATAAAAGTCTACTAATGTGTTCAAGTGTAAAATTATCAATAATTGGCAAATGGTGTTTTGGGATTTAATACTAATTAGCTTGAAAGTTAAATATTCCATTAGTTTTCTTATGTTTATTAAAGTTATTTTAGATTAATGAATAAATAAATTTTCAGTTTTGTATTCAGTGAAACAACGGTCATGGCAATGTTTACCTTGTTGACAAAAGAAAACGTGTTGTTATCAGTTTTTCTTCGGTTGATAATAAACTGATTACTCATTATTTAGGGTTATTGTTATCTTTTATTTCACATAGTGTAAATCATTCTCAAATAAAAATTTTCTAAATATTCACCTTAAAGTATATGAATACATCGCAGTAATGATGTTGTGAAGAAATTTATCCTATACTAAATGTACGTTTGATCGTGGCGGATATGGCTTATGAATAACATACCAGCGAATTCCATATCGTGGATTATTAGCTGATGCTAGGAATGGTTTCAATAAAGTGGGAAGGTAGTCAGTTAATAATAAGTTGACGGTTCATGGGAGCAAGCTATATAAAAATGGAATATACTGGTCCATCACCATCACCTGCTTGGAGTTCGAGAGATATCGTAACTCAATGGCTTGAGACGTTATCATTCAGTGGTTGAATATACTGGTCTTAATTTAATCAATGTTTTTTTCCTGCAAAAAGCAAATATAACAAAAACAGCATAAAGATATTTTACTATTTCGGTTTCTGACTTATTCGGTTTCACTGAAACGTTCAGTAAAGTTTATCATTGAACAACAAACATATCACTATTTAATTAGTTGTCTAGTTATTTTATGAAACTGACACTTGCCAAACAAATCTGACCTTTTCACCATAAGGGTACTGTAAAAATTACCTGCATTATGGATTGATGTCAGTTTGGCTGAGGCAGCATATAATGGTTCATACACCTAACTTCAGTTAATTTATAATATTAAGTAGCCACCAGTGGTCTAAATATTCAACACTGTATGGGAGACATGAAGGTTTTAGGCTCATTTCCCAGCTGAGTCGTAGATGCGCTTTGCTGAAGTATGTGTCAAGTGTTTCTTGTTTTTCAATATTTGTTTAACTAGGATCAATTAGTCTTGTAACCCATGAAATCTTACATAATTTTTCTTGTCTATCATACTATACCATATCAAATTTCATTTTGATCGTTTCGCAAAATGTAACTTTATATTTATACTGTAGATAATTCAATACCATGAATTATTTAAAATTTTACAATTAAAGGTGTATTTCATTACACATAAATTATACTGATATTTTAGATGCCAACTCAGTGATTTATAGGTTAAGAGTTTGCGTGCGAGACCGGAGGTCATGGGTTCGAATCCCTTCGATGTGAGATCTTGAGCGCACACTGTTGAGGGGTCTGACAATAGGATGAAACGGCCATCCAGTACTTCCAGATTTCCACTGTGGTCTGGCTTCAATTGACTCATGATCTCAACTATTGAAATTAGCTATATATCCACTAAACCCCTTTTGTCATTAAATAATATTAAATTACTGAAATTTATAAAATCACTTATAATGAAATAAACAAAGAAATATTGTATGTCAACTACTGATTTGTTATATCTTTATTGAAATGATATATTTCACATTATGTAAATAATAATGAAAAGGAATGCTGAAATATAAATAAACAATTACAATAGGTTTACATAAGCGATAAAACACCCAATAAGTTCATATATATATAGGGAGAGAGAGAAAGTGATAAAGCATACATGGTCTATGGAAAGCACCCAGCTGCGTCACAATGCAATCCCTTACATGGAAACCTCAAGATCAAAGGAAAAGAGAAAGACCAAAGAACACATTACGCCATTAAATAGAGACAGAGATGAGAAGAATGAACAAAAATTGGATAGAACTAGAAGGGAAGTCCCAGGACTGTGTGGGTTGGAGAATGCTGGTCGGCGGCCTATGTTCCATTGGAAGTGACATCCGTAAGTAAGTAAGTAAGTAAGTAAGTAAGTAGGTATATATAATCTATTATTTGAAATCACTATAATCCAAATATTGTTACGTCATGGAATTACAATTTAGAAAACAAAAGAAAAAGAGAAATTATTTAAAGAAATCGAATTAGTTTTCCTTTCCTTGTTTGTTTGTTTGTATGTTTGTTAGAAAAAAAATTGTACATAAATAGTCAAATCACAGATTGTTTATATCATCCACCTTTTTATTTCTATTTGAATTGTAGAAAATTATAATAAATAATAACATAACTTAACAAATCTCCCTATAGAACTAATGTATACAAATTAGACTACTTAAAAGTTAATTAGTAATAGGTATCAATATCAAGTTAGTTTTAAATTAATTGAGCATTAAGTAGAAAATTAATAAGAATTAGATATATATATATATATTTGCTACATTCTAATAAGTACCAAAAATTGTGTGTTCTGGTGTTTCATGACTTCATTTAAACGACTTCTTCAGAGTAAACAAATAACTGTTAGAAATTAATACAAGTTTAAATAGTATTAAAGAAACAATACAGAATATTTCGTTTAGCACTTCTTTTTTTTTAACTTGTATTCATTTAATTTTAGTTCCCTAGTCACTTTGAAGAAGTAGGTTACATTAAGTCATGAAACTTAAAGATACACAACTTCTTATATTCATTAAGATATAACAAAGAAATATATTTATTGTTAATTGACATGTTCAACATCAATTTGTCTTTCTTCTTATTTGATATCTTCATAATTCATGAATGACATTCTTATTTTTTTTTTCCTTTTTAGATTACTTCCTTTTAACTTTTACATTTGATCATTCTGTATTTCATTTGTTGTAAAGTGTTCGATCTCTTTATTGTGTTCCACTTGATATTAATTAATTAATTAATTAATTAATTAATTAATCAATAATAGATGACTTTTGAAGTTCATTTGTACATTTCTTAAAATTGACTAGTTCATCTAAATAATAAATAAAAGAAATCAAGTGAAATGTATTAAAATTTCATTAAATAATGTATCATATTATTAGAAATAATCATTAGGAATAATTATATGCTCACTAGGGACTAGCTTCAAAAAGTATATCCTGAAGTTCCAGTGAGAAGCAGTAACCAGTGAAGTTCAACCGGGGTAGGTTGTGAGATAATAACTCACTGAAGACAATGATGGAAAGTTGCTCAATTTCATGGATTGATTGGAGTTTGACTTTAGCAACATCAGATGTTGTCTTAGTGGTCTAGTGGCTAAGCGCTTGTGCGCGAAAATGATAGATCCTCGTGAGATGGGATCGTGGATGCCCACTGCTGAGCAGTCCGACAATAGAATGAAATGGCTGTCCAGTGCTTCCAGGTTTTCCATGGTGATCTAGCTTCAATCGACAAATGAATTCAACTATAAATCTACTAAAATCTCCACAAAACCCCTTCTGATAATCATTAATGAAGTAAATTTAAAGCTCAATTAATTAGAAACTATTAATAAATGTCACTAAAGTTGAATATTGAAACTTGTTTATAATAACTATGAGTAACTATGTTCTTATTCCTATAGTAGAAACCTTAAATTAATGACATAAATCAACGATGATTAGAGAGTACTGTGCTCTCGTATAACAGTACAAAACAGAATTGAAGTATTGTAGTGAACCAGAACATAAATGAGGATAATCGAATATAATTCAACACGAAATTATAGAATCCCTTAGTAAAATCTCAGAACTATACAGTAGATACTTCATTTGGAGAATGTCAATCAATCGTTTTAAACTTCATTGTTCTTTTGTTTCCACATCAATCATTTGTTGTTCTCGTTCTCTTTCATCTGATCTTCCTAACCTTCTACCTCCAGACATTTCACTTTCCATTGATGATACATCCTACTTATATTTACCGATATCAATAGCACACAATACAGTATAATTTTTAAAAATAAAAAAGATATTCGATACGTATAAATCATTGATTTCAAATATTGAACTTAATATATATAGGAAGATTCAAACAAACAATACTAAGTGAATTTAAACTTCACCCCATTGTACAAGCAAGTGGCTATCAGGACTCAGTAGCTAAGTAGATAACGTGATGGCATTTGAAGCGAACGGTACTAGATTCGAGTCCAAGAGTGAACATCAACTCTGACATGCAGGTACATCCAGTTGACGAGTCTCAAATAAGATGAAACTCGCGTCCTGGATTCCACTGCCAGTCACTATCCATCTTTGTTTACAATGCTTGTGAAATAAGGCTATATCGAGGCAGTACACACAGTATGCACATATGCCAATAAGAGACTGATCAATTGCAGTCCTAAGCATCAATGGGAAGATTCAAACAAACAATACTAAGTGAATTTAATACATGATTTCAAGTAAGAATTATCTAAACAATTTTTTTTCGTTTTTTGCTTGAATTATCTTTCTAAGCTTAAACATTGTAACTCATCAGATAGATGTCAGATGTATTATGAAATTACCTCATGACGGTTTATGGTTTTGCAGATTTACCATAGAAACCATTGAACTATCACTATGTTGTCCTACATTAAATAAGCAACCATTTGCTTTTAATATATTACACGATTTATGTATTTTGGTGTAAATAAGTGATAGAATAAAAATAGTTAGTACATTGGTTGGGTTGTCAATCACATTATCAGAGACTAACTCGGTAGATTGTATTCATGGGACTCACATCTAAGATTTAGTAAAATCGTTTTAACAGCAGCTCTATGAAACTGTTCAGTTATGAGTACTTAAATAACAAACTGAAAACTGTCAAAAATAAGACTGATTTCAATCAACACAACAAAGATTCCTCAACAAAAAAATACTTTCTATATGATTATTCATTTAACAACTCCGTGACTGCTTTTATTCTTTAGTGTCATTATAATTTTAGACTTCATCAGTTTGTCGCTAACCAACCTAGACTTCAGATATTTATCATATCAGTATGAGGTTGTGGAGATGGTTAGCTTTTGATTTAGATCGTGAATCAATTGATGTTAGGTCACCACTAAAGACCTCGAAGCACTGGATGACCTTCTCATCTTAGTATGAGACTCCTCCGAAATGCACATCCACAATCTAGCGCACAAACTCTTAAGCTCTAGACCACTGAGCCGGCATTCAATGGTGTTACTGTCTAACTTCAATCAATCCACGAAATTGCACGATCATCTTCCATTGTCTGAGATAGATACCTGTCTCAACTAGTCATGGCTTCTCACTAGAAATCATAAAGCTTGAAATATTTATAACGTTTTACTCTTAGAATAGTTTTATTCGACAATTATATTCAATTTGCATAAATAAAATTTAGGTAAACTTATTTACAGTAATTCCCTGACCTTTTCTATTTCTATCTTTCCTTAAAAAAACTAGGAATCAAATTCTTTTCTTTAAGAATAATGAACTTTCCCGAATCATTCAATCATTAATGCATGAAACGCAACCGTAATAATCATTTGTTTAATGTCTATTGTATGCTTTCATATAACTAGTAAATGATCCTGTGCAACTGAAGATGCTTACTTAGAAGTCGTAGATCTTTCTTTGCTTCCAAAATTTCATTTATATAATACCAACTCCGAACTAAATTATTCAATGAATCCTTTTATAGCATTTTTTTAACGAAATAAATTATTATATACTTAAAAGGCTATTAAATAAAGACTTACTTTCTTTATGTATAGAAGAGCATAATGTTGTTGGTATCCTATGAGTGGAAAGATCTGTACTTGGTACATCATATTGATGTCGTAGCAGTTCAAGATAATATGACTTCATATAGGTTTCAAGGGCTCCCGAATTTTGATTGTGGAAAGTATTGGAATTTGACAAACAATTAATTGGTATTTGATTTTTTAAACAGTATATCAAATGAAAAATGTCAGTATATGATTGATATAATTCAGGTATACTAGTATAATGCTCCAATAATTTACGATTAACTGAAACATTAGGCAGTCCTGTAGGACTTGAAAAAGCGGACTGTCTTTCTCTGAATGCATCTATTTGTTTTGCTATTGATATGTCTATTGAGTCAGTGTTGCTCCTGAATAAATTATCTCCACTTGTTACATTGGATACAAATTGTTCACTTGCTTCATCATTACAATTATTTGCGGATTCCGAATTACAATGAACGCATGGGATTGGAAGTTGTTCTATTTTCCGTTTAGCTTGTGGATTTTGAGCGGAACAATTATGATAGTTATACCCTTGTAATACTGTATCTTTCTTTTGAATATCAGGAATTAGCTCATCATGATGTTTTGCCGATGATGTCCTATTTTCTGAAGACAAGCTTTCGTTATCCAGTAAAGATGAAATGGTGAATTGTTTAGAACTTGAATTTGATTTACTCTTAGAGTTTGACTTTGTTCCTGATGGGTTGACTACTTGTTCTTCCTTTCTTGAAATAAAGTTGGTTTTCCTATCTGAAGTTTTATGATCAATAGGGCAGTCATTAAAAAGTTCTGGATTAGACATATGTACAGAGTTTCTCTTGTTTACCAAAGTATTTAGTGTAGATTCTTGCATTCCTGGAAGTATTTCATCATCTGTTTCGTGTTTTAAGAGATCTGTCATAAAAGTGGACATCATAAATGGCAGAGATCCTAGAATACTTGAATTCTGTTAGAGAAATAAATAAAAAAGAAGAATTATTATTTAATAGTTTATTAGGCATAAGAAAACACTTCACTTAACTCAGTTTATATATTAAACTAGGAATTTTAACGATCATGTAGTTGTAGTTCATACTTTTGCGACGTTCAAATAACTGATCCTTTCTATTACAACTTAGGTAAATCAAAAACGTACCTTAACGCTTCAGTCAATTTAACTGCACTCAACTATACAATTATACAATGCAAACAAGTACCATTCAATGTAGAAGAATATTTTTCTTCAAAACTGAAATATTTTATTAATAATAATAATATGTGGAGGCCTCAGTTTTGACGTCTAAATGAAGTGCCCCACTGGAGTGATCAGCCCGACGTGATATACTTCTGTGGCAAGAGATCCCGGACCACAAAATATATATTATCAACTTGGGTACACAAATAGATTATTATAATTATCAGTCTGTAATAAATAGACTATTTTTAATGTAAGCCAAAATTTTCCACATTTCGACTCACAAAAGCTATTAGCAATCCCTGATTCATTTGTCCACAAGAGAGACTTTGTCAACCTGCCTTTTTTATTAGTCCTGTTAACAGAATATTTTGTAGATGGATTTTAATGTACACGTACCAGTATTCAAATAATTTTTTTGTAAAGATCTATTTCGATTGTTCTGATGGTTTTAGAAATCTGACAAGATTTCAAGTTGTTCTTTATTACTTATTTTCAGACAGACTTCAGTTTATGACAAAAATATACCTTAGAGTTTATTTGATTACTTCTAGGCTACATTTTGATCAGTCGAAAAAAGTTCCGAACCTTTAATAGCTACGACGTTCTTGATTTTTTATGTATGAAATAGCTTAAAATCCATTATATCTCTAAAAGGCTCTAAGACTTGGACTCAATCTCATTCTTGTCAATAATATGGGGGAAATAGTTCTGTGACCTTCAAGAGAAACCTTCCGTCACATTCAATAGCATACACATTTCCATCAGTACTATGTTTCTATTCTTGGTTTAATTTATACAAGAGAAAATCGTTATATTCTGTGCAATTTCTAGAGTTATTACTTTCTTTTATATAATACGGAAAGAATAGTGAAGCAATGAATTCTTTAAAGTAAGATAATGGAAGTACGGCTTCTAAAAATTACCCTTATTTGTTACAACTATCATGTATTTCATCTTTGAAAGCCACGTAACCCTTAAACTATTTTTATGGTTAGAACATGTCGTAGTATACAAAGTTAATAGATGATTAGCTCTTATTGAGAGACCTGGTTTATAAGTGGTTTTAGATGTAATAAACCTGATTTTAAAGAGTTGCTTTATAGCATCTTTTCTCCAGTTAATTTTAGTACATTTATAAATTTATCAATGAAAAACCTAATATACCTACCACAGACTCTAATAGTTCAGAAATCAACCATAGAATCAATTAATGTATACTTATATGAAAAATAACCACTAAGTTAAAAATTGTAACAGCTAGCTTGAACCAAAATACTAATATTATACTTAATTCTAATGAACAAATGAGAATTACTCGGGTTTTTTTCTCGAGATTAAAGTAATTTCATAATCAAATTACCAATTTGAGATTGATTTGTGTTGAACGGTGGACGGTGATTCACTTTCATGGATTGATTGAAGTTAGACATTGGCAACATCAGATATCGTCTCAGTGATCTCGAGGTTAAGTGTTCGTGTGTGAGACCGACAGTCATGGATTCAAATCCCACGATTGAGATCGTGGATGTATACTGCTGAGGAGTCCCACAATTGGACGAAACAGTTGTTCAGTGTTTCCAGGTTTTCTATGGTGGTCTGGCTTCTAATGACTCATAAAATCAACTGTTAAATTACTATAATATCCACAAAACCACGTTTCTAGTAATAATTATTTAGATGAAAATCTTTAACATTAACTTACAGGAGAAATTCGTAAATTTGGTGAGTGTACCGATTTGTAGTGAGAATCTTCGTTAATATTTTGAGTTGAGAATTGTTGTATATATGGAACTTTTATATTCTTAATATTATTAGTTAATATATCATTTGTGAGACTCATTTGTGTATTTATTGAAGAGTCTAATAACTGATTTGATCTTTTACGGTAATCATTTATTGTTGTCTGTTTTTCCGTAGAACTCAATCGATAATTTTGATGCGATTCATTAGCTGAAGTACTATTGTTATTATTATCTCTATTGCCACTTCCAGTGTGACAGCTAATGTCATTATTGGTATATAAACTTGAAGTTGATTTCATACTGGTTGATAACTTATTTGAATTGTTTAATGTGGAAAATATTTGTGGCATTAATAATGAAGATATTGACGAAGTTGGCATGTTTGATGATGACAAGAGGGAGTTCATTGAGACATAAGATTTCAAGAAATTATGAAAATTTTCTGACTTAGAAGGATGTATACACGAAGAACATTTAGATATTGGGACAACTGTAGAAAATGGTGAAAATGAAGGCATCATTGAATTAGTGCTTGAAGGCATCACTTTTGAACCTAATGTTCCAATGTAGAATCTATCTTCATTATGGGGATATTCTAATCTATTACAATAATGTCTAGGTGTATCTGTAGGAGAATTTTGTAAAGGAAACGACTTCTCAAATATTGAGGGATCATCCCAATCTTCAGGCATATGTTTTGATAAACCTTTTAAATCTTCAGTAAAGCTTCTATCTTGTTTCACTTCCGGTAAGGTTCTGTATTTTTTGGAACAAGAGTTCCGAGAGTATCTTGGAGTCATTTTCGTTGTCTGATAAAGCTTACGATCTAACTGTTTATCCTGTTTAGCCAATGGATGTTGAAAATCTGACTCTCTATTCATTAAGCTGTCATTTTTCGTATCGATATTTTTTAAACGATTCATAATTGAATGCTGTTCAAGTAGGCATTTATTGGTATTATTGAAATCATTTATCAAAATTTCACTCGATGCTTTCACATTTGAACTTTCATCACAGTTTTTTGTAGGGTCAGTTTGATAAAGACAATCTGATTTCCGGTGCAAGATATTAGGTATATCGGTAGAAGAATTGTAGTTAGCGACTCCAAGCATAGTATACTGTTTAATTAATTGATTAAATAATTTTTCCCTCTCAGATTCAGACATTCCTATCAATTCCACATGTCGTCGGACAGTATGACGCTTGATAGTATCCACTTTTCTTTGAGTCATCACTTTATGACAAACAAGACACATCACCTGAAAAAACAAATGAACAAAACAGACCATTTTATTTGCTGATTAACAATTTAACTACTTACAAATAATTTAGTAGTTTCAGAATAAACAGTCATTTCTTTACTTCGTGCAATAATCTATGGTTTAGTTTTCTCACTCAACAAAGATCAAATTAACTTGTACAATTCAAGCGCTAATCACCTACACCATATTACGTAGTATCAGCCAAATTTTAAACCATGATAAGTAAAATAAATGAACAAAGTAAAATCCACAGTCTAACAGTTTATTGTGAACTCACTAAAATTAGTCAGACCCATGTACAAGCGATGTCTATATATATTTTTATATGTACATAGTACTTACAGAACATATAGTGTATTATGAAATTCATGTATGTTGAATAAAAAGCAAACTTTATTAACTTAATAATCTATTGTGACAGCAATTTTCTAGTTCTTCATTGGTGATCTTTTTGATGGATCAATAAACTTAATAAAACTATAGATTATGGTGTCATCTGTCAATTGTAAGGATGATACTTCTTAGATCATAATGTTAGTCAGTAGTGTTTACACTAAAAGACAAATTATTCACTAGAACATTATATATACAATGTAAATATATTGGATAGGTAGAGTTTGTTACGGCAAAAAGCATACGATTCTCGTTGAATAAAGGATAAGCAATAATTGGAATAGAAATATTAACATTAAAAATGTTAGGTATAGTAATACTAGTACTAGGTATTCAGAAAAATATGATTGTGTATTTGAACATTGAACATTAGAGGTCCTATTCAAACAAATAAGCGATCCGTGCCATTTCATTTGACGAAAGAAGTATATTTTGATAGTTGAGATCATGAATCAATTGAAGCTAGACCACCATGGAAAGCCTGAAAGCACTGGACGACCGTTTCGTCCTACTATGGGACTCCTCAGCAGTGCACATCCACGATCCCGCCTCGCGAGTCGATTTAATAACTTACATTTTAATTAAGTCTCGGTTAGTCTACTGTAATATGGAAAAACATGATTTAGTTAGATACTATGATTAAAAATAAAATCAAACTAGATAAGTGGTAAAGTATCTTAGGCATTAAATCAATTGTACTACTGTGTAATTAGTAACAGATTCATATAAAATCAGTATAATGTGCAATAATAAAAGTCGAGAATACCTAGAATAATAAATTTTAACCTTTTTGAAAAAAAAATATTCTCAGCAAATTTTGATTTCATTTCAGATGTTATATTGACCATACAAAGAGCGCACTTGATAAACAAATATCCGAGCACTACTCAGGATGGTTAGCTAAAGAGGCACAGGAATCAATCAATAGCTCACTTCTTAAACACATAATTAGTTCGGGTCACACCTCAAAATCCTTTACAAAATAAGAAGAACTGGTTCAAAAAAAGGTTTGGATGTGGAAATTGTGCACAGCCGAAGTTATAGCAATTCGTTATTTCAAATGTGAACACTGAGTACAGAAGAGTCATGCTCAATTCCTTGTTCTCTCATAGTCTTAGCACACCATTTAATCTTACAAATTACAATTGCCAATTATTATCTTTTTCTTTCCCTCTTTTATTATGTAGAATGTTATATTTACTTTGTATTCCATAGATTATTACTTTTTATTACTTCCAAACTAGTACATCATGTAAGCTCTTGATAATTGTTGATTACTTTGCCAGATGATATAACCTTTTTTAATTCAATACTTATATACTTTAATTACATTGAAATAACAGCTACATGTAAAATGTTACCTATCAATAAGATTGTACAGTTTCAGAAAATGTTATCTCTGTAAAGAGAACTTTCTTTTGCTGAAATGCCTTCATTCTTATTTCAAAAGTATTGATGATAATAATAATCATATACTTTAAATTAAACTAATCACTTGTAACTTATCACAATTTTGAAAGCTAACTAAAGTAAATGGGTTGAAGAATGCTGGTTGGCGGCCTATGCTCCTCTAGGGGTAACAAGGGTAAGTAAGTAACTAAAGAAAAGTTTTCCTTTATAAGTTAAATACAATTAAAAACTCAAAAACAATAATAATACATGCAATTTATTATTTATTAGGTTATATGAAAGTTTCTTTAAGTATATAATATGTCGGCTTTAATCTTGCTGAAGATTAACCATTATCACACCGATACTAATCAAATCCTACTTATTAATATATAATGTCGTCACGAGACAATATTATCATACATTAGATGATGAAATGAAGTCAAGAGATAGCTTTAAATTTATGTTTCATATTAGTTCGCATTTAATAAGCAATGCATCCCTACAATCTTCAAGAAATTAATGCTCCTCGGTAATAACAGTCAAAATAGTTCAATAGAAAAAAGTTTATGAGTTAGAAGTCAGATGATATAAATGTAAAACCCAAGGAGTGGATCAGTATTTCTATGCGTTTGGTTGAAGTTAACATTAACATCTTTAAATGCTGGCTCAGTGGTCTATCGGTTAAGTGCTCTGACGCGTGACTGGTAGGTCCTGGATTCGAGTCTCGTGAGGTGGGATCGTGGATGAGCACTGCTGAGGAGTCCCACGATAGGGCGAAACGACCGTTCACTGTTTCCAGGTTTTACATGGTGGTCTAACTTCAATTGAATCATGATTTCAACTATATATAAAAAATTTCTATGTATTTGTTCATATTTTCTTGAAACCTGCTTTTAGTTACTTAAAATCATTTGTTGTACTTATTTCCATTCATTTAAATGATTGAATCAAAACAATATTGAACACATCACCTTCTTTTTTATAATAATTCCCTGTAAAATTTATTCTATATGTTACATAGTTCTATAGTTAGAGATCTATACTTTTAAACCATTCGAATAGATTACCAGTCAAGATATATCAATGTCAATATTACTGCAAATGACCACAACATTTTTCTCTTTTAAACTGTGATATTCAATAACATTCCTATCCGGTATGAAGATTTTTTAATTTTAAAAAAATGAAATTTTTTTATAATTTCAGATTGATTTCACCTTGATGTATTATTTATGTATTACATTTTTTTTGTCTGGTATCCACTTGAAAAAAAAACATTAAAAATTTCGATCAATTATCAATATCAATATTTTATTTTTTTGTTTTATTATTATCAACAAAGGGATGATTAGTGACATTTTTGTATTCAACAGTCAATACTTGAAGTGTTATATATATTCAAAAGGGGATTTGTGGAGATTTCAGTATATTTCAAAGTTGACATCATGAGTCAATTGAAGCTAGACCACCATCGAAAATCTGGAAGCACTGGACGGCCGTTTCGTCCTATTATGGGACTCCTCAGAAGTACGCACCCAGTTGAAGTTAGACATTAACACCGTTGGATGCCGGCTCAGTGGTCTATTGGTTAAAGGCTCTGGCTCGTAACTGGTAGGCCATGGGTTCGAATGCCGTGAGTGCGGGATCGTGAGTATATATATATTCGTATGTGTTTATTTATTGTTGTGTTTCCCTATTTGAAAGTATGTACATTTTTAGAGCTGTGTTTTGTGGAGGATTTTAGTAACTTTATATAGTTGACATCATGAGTGAATTGAAACTAGACCACCATGGAAAACATGGAAGCACTGGATGGCCGTTTCGTCTTATTGTGGGACTTCTCATCAGTGCGCATCCACGATCCCACCTCGCGAGATTCAAACGTATCGGACGTCGAGTGCTTTCAGGTTTTCCATGGTGGTCTAGCTTCAAGTGATTCATCATCTCAACCTTAAAAAAATATTAAAATCTCCACAAAAACACCTTTTGGTAATGATCACATGCTCACTATGGACTGGCTCCATGAGGTATTTCCTACAGTTCTAGTGAGAAGCAGTAAACAGTGGAGTTGAATCAGGTATGTTGGGAGATATCAAATCACTGAAAACAATGGTGAATAGTTGCTCAATTTCATGGATTGATTAAAGTTAGACATTAACACCGTTGGATGCCGGCTCAGTGGTCTAGTGGTTAAGCGCTGGCGCGCGAAATCGATAAGTTCTGGGTTTGAATCTCCCGATGCTGGATCGTTGTTGCTCGCTGCTGAGGAGTCCCACAACAGGACGAAACTGCCGTTAGTGCTCTCAGGTTTCTCATGGTGGTCTAGCTTCAATTGGCTCATGATCTCAACTATATATACATTTTTGTTATATCCTAGTGAAGATTAAAGAACGGGTAACTTTTGGGATTTATGAATGAGCTAATATTCTATAAATATTCTTATTGTATAACTATTCAGTAATTAGATTGTGTATATCTTTATTCATGTTATTATAAGCTTCATTTCGATCTATAGATTATTATCATACTATTTACTGTTCGTAAATTACAGTCACTTTATTAATTACTGTGTCCCATGTTGACAGCCACATTGTAGCTTGGTATTGCATAAATGTTATTTCTTATTTTATAGGGCGTTGCAGTCTGTTTAGTTGATTTATAAACCCAGTATATCTGAAATAAATAGTGGAAGCTGTCATTGGTGTTCTGGACTCCACTGGACGAGCTAGGAGGACAGAGGACCAATAAGAACGCTAGGCTGCTCATACCGGTCGAACGTCATTGGCTTGGCACAGTGTTAAGATTGGAAAAGTCGTATTTCGATTGATCAATAAATCACGTGATAAAAAGCTGAGATTAAATTCACAATAATTTTTTTAAGTAGAGAAACAAGGGATAATTTAATGTGTAGAATGTGATGATTATTATACCCCTTGTGTTCACTCTTTTCTGTTCTTTTTTCCTTTTTGAGAGATGTAGTTATACGATGTGATCAAAATAAAATTATTTTAACGTTTTTTTTAGATTTTTGATTATTATTGTAGTGAATGAGAACACAAGTGGGGCCAATCGAATGTATTTCAATACAGAAATACAGAACATCTTAGTGAAATCTGAGAACTATATGGTAAATACGTCATTTGCAAAATATTCATCAGTTGTCTCAGACTTCATTGTTCTTTAGTTTTCACATTAATCATTCTTTGTTCCCG